AGTCAGGGGACAGGGAGTGGGGGAGGGGGGGTTGGATAGGGGCAGCGTCCCGGGGGGGGGGGTCAGGGGCAGGGGGGTTGGATGGGGCAGGAGTTCTGAGGGGGGCAGTCAGGGGACTGGGAGGAGGAGAAGAGGGGGCGAGGGCCAGGTTGTCTGGGGGGCACAGCCTTCCCTCCGGTTTTGGAACCCTGATGTGGCCTCAGGCCAAAAAGTTTGCCCACCCCTGGTCTAGGAGACTACAATGAAGTCACTTCCTGAAAATTGACATGGTTGATAATGTTCATTGCTGTGCCTGCAGTATCCCCTAAAATACTGATATTAATAGTTGCTGCAAGGAAAATGTGGTGGCGCTGTGTTCTTACCCTGTCTTTTTTTTTCTTTGAAATTAAATGTATCACCGTTTGAGACATCAAAACTTCCCTGTAAGATGTAGACTTTGTGCCATTTTTCTACAACACTGCTGTCAAGGAAAATATGCTGTTTGCCATGAAAACACTTGACTATGAATATTTAGAAGAAATTAATTTAAAATATGCATTTATCATCCAAATTCTTTGCCTGGAGTTAAAATGGAATAATGAACAGCTCTACTGAACCATGAGTATTGCTGAAGATAGATAAATTACGGGCTGGGGTAATGTTTTGCCCCAGTAACTTTACCAAGACAGAGAGATTATTACCAATCCAGCTGTTATTGCACTTGTGACATTATCCCTTTGTATGACCAATGAGAAAAATATTGGTGTTTAATATGCAGATGGACCAGACTCCTGGGCGTTAAAAACAATGTAATGCATAATTCAAAGATAAAGACAAGGTTTTTGAGCATTTTAAACGCGTTTTCCCCCGTGTCTTATGCGTTCCCTGGTCGTTTCAATACGTTTTGCAGGTAGATTTCAATCATTACGAAGCATCCCGAGCCCCGCTGCGGCTAACGGTGGGGCGGTGAGAGCCAGGCGCGCTGCGCCGGGGCCCTCGCTGAGCCCAGGCTGTGCGGGGAGAGCTTCCCCCGCGGGCTCGCAGGTCGCCGCCCGCCCGCCCCGGCAGCGCTGGGGAGCCGCCGGCCGGACGTGCCCTGCAGGCTGCGCTCCTGCCCGGGCGCCGCCGAGCTCCGGGCTGGAGGGTCGGGGTCGGGCCTGGGCTGCGCGGCGGCCTAAGTCCTGCCCCGTGGCCGCTCGGCCGCGCCCTCCCTGTCTCCGCCCCCGGACAAGCCGCTGCCGCCTGCGGCCCGGGAACTTGTCTAGTGCGGCGCTGTGGGGCCGGGGAGCGATCGGGGTGAGCCCGGAGCGGAGGGAGCCGGGGAGGAGGGTTCAAGGGGCAGGAGGGGATTCAGGGGGGTCCCCCAGGGCAGCCGGGTTCCGGAGACGGGGGGTAGGAGCCGGCCCCTCCGGCTCTGGGCACAGCAGGCAGAGAGCAGGGCTGTGCAGGGAGAGTGGGGCTGTGGCCCCTTTGTGCCATGGCAGGGTCAGGCCATGGCTCTGGTGGCCCCCAGCCCTCATCCCCTCGTTACCGGTACCTGGACCTGCTCTTCGCCGTCCTGGGCACTGCTGCTTTCTTGGTAGACCTGGTCGCTGATCTGTGGGTGGCCTCCAGCTACATGCAGGCTGGGCACTGTCTCTGGGGGGGGCTGGTGCTGGCACTGCTGGGCCTCTCCTCCCTGGCCATGCAGTTCTTCAGCTGGGCCTGGTACCAGACGGACAACATCGAGCAGGACCTTCCCAGTTGCTGCTGCCTGGCTGTGGTGCACCTCTTCCAGCTGGGCTATCTCTACAGGTAAGGGCACTGCCGAGGGTGAAGGCAGGTTAAGTGCCCCCTGCCCAGTAACTCACCCTCTGCTGAGATCTTGCAGCCCAGGGCCACCTGTCCTTCACGCTGACCTCAACTGGAGAGGGGTCCAGAAGGTTCCTGCAGGCCCTGCTGCTGGGCACACACAGATCCTGGAGGGAGGAAACTAATGGTGCCAGAGTGAATGGTAATTTCCTTAGGCACAAGTGGGTGGGAATACCCCTACCTGTTCCCCTGGCTCAGAACTGCAACACTAGCCTGGTGGCAGGTGCTGGACTGGTCTGCACATCCAACAGCACCTTCCCTGTGCCACTGGTGCTCTGCATTCGCAGCCTTCTCCCCAGTGCGGTGAACACACATTTCGCCTTGCCTTGCCCTTCATCATCACAGCTGCTGTCACTTCCATGGGTAGGTAGCCTGCTCCATATAGGCTAGATTTGAATTTCCCACTATAATTTACAAATAAAAACTACACTACACTGGAGTTGAGGCTGAGTACATGTCAGTAACCAAAGGGTTAAAATATCACAATGCGGCTGTAATTATCCCCATACCAGCTGTTACAAACTCAGGGTTAAGGTTCAACTGAAATCCAAAGAGCGAGGGTGTGGAAGTGCACAGTCAAGGCACCTGTATTCCTGCCTGGTAGCGAGGCCCCTCAGTAATTCTTAGTGCACTGTAGGGTTGTGGTCCCAGATGAAGCTGATTTTGAAAGACAACGTAATTTTGTTCATTTTCCCCTCCTTGGTGCCCCTCCATTATACAAACATTAATGTGCTGGTCAGGGACTTGTTCGGTAGGTGGCAGGGCTTGGTTGCAGAGAGGCAACTGCAATAGGTGACAACATAAGGAAACGTCAGAACTGTGTGACTCCCTGGTGCTAACGCATACAAAACAGTGCATGTTTTTGTCTTTATTCCCAGCATGCACAAGAAGGCCAGGTCTACAGTAAGGCTTGGTCTACACTACCAACTTATATCGGTATAACAACGTCCCTCAGGGGTGTGGATCTCCCACACCTGAGAGCGACCTAGTCCCCAGTGTAGATAGTGCTGTTGATGGAAGGGCCTCTTCTGTTGCCATAGCCACTGCCTCTTGGACAGGTGATGTTCCTGTGCCAGTGGGAGAAGCTCTCCCTTGGTGTCTTCACTAAGTGCCACAGTGACATAGCTGCACCCTGTGCCATTGCAGCGCTTAGGTATAGACAGGCCCTTACACTTCTGCAGGTGTAGCAATGACAGTCAGAGGTGGATTTGTTTGCAGCGCTGCTATTCCGGCAGATCACCTAGTATAGATGTGGCTGTATATATAAAAGTGCGTTAGCCAGTATAGGTGACTTTGCTTGTGGAACTGGTATAAGCAGAAGTTATACCTCCAGGAGGAGGGTTTGCTCGTATAGCTACACTGGCACAGTTATACCAGCAAACCTTTTCTGCTTGAACTAGGCCTAAGTGTGAAACACACTCAGCTCCCTCAGGCCTTGCCTGCACGACCTCAGGTCTGGGGTTGGCTGCACCAGTACAGTCCAGCGGCAAGCGCAGAGAGCAGTGGTTCAGCTAACCTAGTTGTTGACGCTGTGCTGTTTTCTGGTGCAGAGGAGACCTAAGCTACTGCAGCTGCCTTGTCAGTTCCAGCCATTTCCCCTAAGATGTCCCACCTTTGCTAGCTGGTTTTGCTCTGCTGGGAGTAGTAGCACCAAGAATGCTAGTGTAGACAGTACTCAGAGGCCACCATCCCATTTCCTAGACCTGCTTGGGTATTCTGCTGGCAGCCCCCATACGCTAGTTGTTGAGGTCACAGGGGGTGCTGCAGAGCTAGTAACTAAGAAAAGGCTGATGCAGACAGCCTCAATGCTGCGCTGGGCTCATGTGGGCCTGTCCCTCTCCAGCACTGCCTCTGGCAGTTCCCCATGTTCTTCTCTTGGTGGAGTGTTTCATTCATTCTCTGCCCAGGGCACAGAAACAAACTGCTGAAGTTCCCAGGGTTCTCTGCACATTGGGGCTGTGTTTCAGGCCGCCAGTATCCTGTGTGTAAAAAGCAATGTCACTTCCTGCAATTGAACCTATGGTGGTTAAAACTGGGCGGACTGTTTGCTGTTCACCACTTCAGCTGATTGCTGGGGGTTGTGCTTTGTTCAGCTGGGACAAGGAAAATAGACAAGTCACTTTCTCTTTTGGTTCTGGTCCGGTTCTAGTGGATTTCAGGTCACTCTATGCAGTGCTCCTCGCTGCAGTGTTTGGGTTGCAAATACTTCAGGGGAATGTTAAACCCAAGCCAAAAATTGTTTTCATTGGAACTGGGGAGAAAATGATGCCCCTGGATTTCTTTCTTCTGATGGTGGATTATTAATACAGCCTAAACTTTGGGCCTAAAGTGACTTGACAAGTGAGCGTGAGATCTCAGCCTGTCAAACGCAGCCCAAAGCCCCCCAAATGAGTGACACTCTGAAGTTACTCATGCAGGAAACGTAACCTGCTGTGGGACCCTGGCATTAGCATACGCTCTGTAGCATCCATATCATGAATGCTGACTGGCGACATAGATAGTTGTCCATAATAGAAGTCAGGGAAAGGCAGGTACTGGGGATTAAAATGAGATTTCCCTTGACGTGAAGGGCATGAATGAGTGTCCCATTCACTTTGTCCAGCACAGATTTAGAGCTGTCTTGAGGGCAGGCTGGCTCTGGAATCCCACGCACTAGTGACGGACAGACAGAGCTGTGTGTTTGTGACATTGAGGTGCTGCCTGGTGTAGAGCAGCCTCTCATGGCAGGGCCGTGATGTCTGCACAGGTGTCTCCGTATGCTGAGAGTGGGCTGGCGAGTATGCAGGGCAGAGACTGCACCACAGCAGGAGCGAGGCTACGCTGTCTTCCTGTCCCACGACATCAGCATGCTGCGCCTCTTTGAGACCTTCCTGGAGAGCACCCCTCAGCTCACGCTTGCTCTTTCCATTGTTCTGCATACAAACAAGGTGGAGCTTTTCCAGGGTGAGTGGCACAGCTCCTGGGCATGGTGGGGGCAGGGCACTGGGGATTCCTTATCACAGAGCCACCTGGTGAGGAGTGGGTGAGTGGGATAAGGGAACAATTCCTTGAGCTTCTTCAGCTCTGGCTTCTAAAGGATACGAGAGCTGGGCCTCGTTCTGGAGCCCATCAGTCAGACTGGGGAGGTGCTGATTCTCCCTGGGAATGTAGCTTGACCCCTCCTGCCCACAGTGTCTTGTGGTCCCAGCCTTGGGGGATTTCTCGCTAGGCATCGCATTAGCTCAGAGCTGGGGTTGAGCGTCGTGCAGGGCCGGGCTCCAGTTACAGAGCTGCCCAGTGTAGCAGGGCGGTGAATCCCTAGAGGCTCGGTACCTTCTGCTTGCATTGGCTCTGCACCTGGGACGCCCTCTGGCCAGACCCTGCAGCGTTAGGAGGGAGGTTGGGATGTGCTGTGCTGTGCTGTGCTGTGCTGCAAGGAAGGGGGTTCTGGCTGCTGGGAGACTGGACTGTTACCTAGTCGCAGGTGTTTCCATTTCATGCTAGTGTGCCCATCTCAGATGCTGCAAAGCAGCCTTCTGAGAAGAGGGGAGGGGTTGGGATTTTGGTGCCCATGGGGAGGGATCCTCTCTGGGAGGTGGTAGGCAGAACACACTGAACAAGAGGGGCCAAAGCAGGGCCCTGCATTTAGCCGAGACCTTGCTTCAGCTGGGAAAGGGGTGTGTTGGGCCCATGGAGCCGTGTGCCTAGCCAGGTACAGGCGTGGCATCTCCCTGTGTCTGGGCACATGTGGGGTGGGCAGTGCCCTTGGAGATTGATTGGCTCTCAGAGCTTCCCAGTGGGACACAAAACTGGGCCAACCCTGAGACCCCAGCTCAGTTGAGGGCCAGATGCTATTCCATTGACTCCAGTGGGTCAGGATTTCCCCTGAGTGTTTAGTGCTTGGCTGCAGGGGGCGGCACAAATCAGGCTTGGTTCAATCCCTCCCTCCAGGCTGGGCCCCCTTAGTCAGGAAGTAGCAGAGTGCCTCTGGCCTTGGCCTCAGAGGCTTGTCACTGTGGCCCAGGTCCTGTGGCTATACCCGACTCGGTCCTAAATGGAGATGGCTGAGTCATTCTCCCAGCCCCATGGTGCCCCCCAGGCCCCTTCCCCCGGCTGTTGGCAGCACTTCTCTTCTGGTGCTGCCCCGTGGGGGTGGGGAACTCCCATTCCAGGCATCTCACAGGGCGCAGAGCATAGAATAAGGGCTGGCCTGTGGCTGGGTACTTCCTAAGCATTTCTGGGGCTCCCTGAAACAGGAAGTGGCATGTTTCAGCGCAGACCTGTGGGGCGGGCGAGCGAGGTGTGCAAGGGACCTGAGAGCAGCTGTGACACAGAGCCGTCCTGCTGGGGGGCCCTTGAGAGCAGTGGGCTTTGTTTGTTGATCTAGGGCCTGGTTGGGGTGAAGCCAGCACCTCTCCAGGCTGGTCACTGTTGCCCCGGGCCTGAGCCACTGCCTGATGCCCCATGCAGCTGCCCCCACTGCCTGTGTTCCCCAGTGACCCTTTCTCCCGCTGTTGTCATAGGGCTTGGGATTTGCACTGCCTCCCTATGCGTGGCATGGTCACTACTGGATTATCACCAGTCCCTCCGCTGCTTCCTGTTGGACAAGCATGAGCTGGGCCCGCTCTCCTCCACCATCTACTTTCTGTGGAATTTCCTCCTCCTCTGCCCCCGCGTCCTGGCAGTCGCACTCTTCGCCACACTCTTCCCGTCCTACATCGGCCTGCACTTCCTGGGTATCTGGACTGCCATGCTCCTCTGGGTCTGGCTGCAGGACACTGCCTTCATGGAGTGCCCCAGGCGGGAATGGCTCTACAGGGCAACGGTGGCCGTGATTCTATATTTCTGCTGGTTCAACGTGGCCAAGGGGCAGACGCGGCAGCGCAGCGCAATCTATCACAGCTTCATCCTGGTGGACAGTGTGCTCCTCGCTGGCTCCTGGCTCTGGTACAATGCCCCTCTGCGTGAGCGCTCCTATCTGCTCCCTGTGCTTCTCGCTGCCCTGGTCTGCTCTGTGCTCGGGGTGCTGCTGAGAATCATCTACTACAAGTGGCTCCACCCCACGCTGCAGACCCGGCGCCAGGCGAGCTATGATGAAGTAGACACTGCAGAAGGACTAGCCCATTTCCGAGCTAGCCCAGCGCCAGCCCCTGTGAACAGACGAATGTACCAGCTGTCCCAGAACCACTTCTTGGTCTCTTTGCAGGCCGGACAAAACTGGGGGAATGGTGTCCTAGATGACATGTCTCTCTGAGCACAGCTGTCCTGCTCCAGGCAGAGGGATTTACACCTCAGGGATCTGTGCTGGGGGATCCCATTCCAGACCTGGCTCCAGCGTTCCAGGGCCCGAGCACCACACCTACGGAAAGGGCAGCTGTGGCAGGGAGAGGAGGTTGGAGAGAGCTGGGCGGGCCGAGAGCACTGGCACTTAGTAGCTGTGACCCCTGTTCTGGGCTGGCTCTTCCCGTGGGAAAGGCAATGCAGCAAGTGTCAGGAGAAACCCGCTAGAAGAGTGCTGGCTGCCGAGTGGGCTCAGCAGCAAGTTAACCCTTTATTGTCAGGCCTCTGCCCTGGGACCTGCTCCCCTACAGCAAACTCCTCACTTCTTCCTGCTGGTTTCTGTGGCCTCCCCCCACTGCCCTGTTGAGCCCCATCCCCATTTCCCTGCCACGCTCTCCCCTGCTTTGTTTCAGCAGAGTTCAATGGGAAACTGTGCTGTTCTTGGCAGGACCTGCTAGATTTTCCATTTGTCTGGGATTTCCCTGCACTTGTGTTTTGTTGCTGATTTCAAAGCTTCCCTGTAGTAGTGGGTAACCCATGGCACTGCTGGAGGGTTTTCCAGCCAGCTGCAAAAGGTCAGTACCAGCTGAAACAGTGTGGTGGGAGGGAGTTGGAGGCCAGGATGGATGACTTGTTGGTGCCAGCTGCCCCTTATGCCCAAGCAGTACAGGGTGACCCTGAACACCCACCCCCTAGTAGCCACCCATCTGGTGTTGTGCAGGAGGGTTGGAAATCCAGATCAAAAGCTTCCCCCACAGCCTCAGCCCTATCCCCGCCCCCACCAATCTCACACCACCCCAAGGGGCAGGGCAGGGAGCTGTGGGTCTACAGAGATGTGCCTTGTGGGGCAAGGGAGGGAAACCCTTTTCCCCACATGGCCCATACTGGTGAAACATCCCCTGCACCTGGAGGGGGGGCTTTCCCCACCCACCCTGCATGGACCCATGGTATTTCCACACCGTCCTCCAGGCCCATGGGTGGGGGAGGAGTGGAGGCGCTGTCCCTATTATTCACAGGCGAGAGGGGTGCTGTCTTTGGCTGTGGAGTAATTTGTTTCCTCCTCTTTCCATACCTCCTGTGAGAATGACTGTGGGTTGCTAGAGCCCCAGACGGTGGGCAAATGAGTCAGGCAGACACTCAGAAGGGGTTTTTCCCCCAGGCAGGACTCAAATTTGCTAGCGGCCTGGAGCGTCTTGTGTCACTGCCGGGTAGCTGCAGCCCAAAGCACATGCCTGGGAAAACGTCATGAACTGGCAGCACTGAGACTGGGCCCACCCAGGTGGGGATGGGGGTAACTGCACACTGGACTGGACTGGGACAAGTACTGCTCCCAGCTGGCCTGTGCAAAGCAGGGTGGATTGATTAAAATCAATTATTTAAATCAATTTCTCCATTTGTGCTTCAGTCGTTTTTTAAAGGAAGTGAGATAAACATGTTGACTTACAACCCCAGAGAGGCTTGACACTAGATTTGGAACAGCTTTTTGCTACCTCAGAGAGTACACTACAACGATATACATTTATGTAAGCAATTATACAGCTTAATATTTTCAGATTCTTAACTGTACATTTTTAGTATGTTAGAAAATGGTGATTTACTAGATAACTTCTTGCTCATTTGTGTCAAGCTTTGTTAGGATGGTAACTGGAATTTAAACAAACAAAACAATATAAAATTTATTTTTATTAAACAAAACTACCTTAAAAGTTGTTTTACATAAATGTCTTATCAAAACATGTTTCACATTTATAACAATGATTTATCAAAGAGAGGGATTAACTGGTCAGTGAATTAAACTGATTATTTCAGATGTGATAATTGGTCTAAAACTTTTGCCTTCTTGGGAATTTACATGGAAAGCAGGGCAAGTTATTTTCAATAAAGAAAGCATGTTATAAACAGGTGCAAGAGAACCAGACCAAGTAAACCAAAAAGGCCATTCTGATATAATCCAAAGCCTGTTGAAATTATGCTTGTTAAAAACAGATGATGGAGCCAGAAGTTAATATACCAAGATCGGTGTGCCTTGCATCTTTTTGGTGCACTGTTTACATTCAGCACGTGTTCTTTTTTTTACCCAGAGGTACGGGAATCTCTCAAAACTATTCTAATAGGGTCTTTTTTACAACCTGCAGCCATGGTAGCTATTTCTCCCCCAGTTTCCAGGTGTTGAAATCAGAACTAAGGCTGCACACAAGAATGTAGTCCCTTCTTCCCAGTGCAGTTTTGACACTGGTGTTGCTCCTTTCTGGTTGCACAATCTGCTCCTTCTCCCCTGTTACATAACTTCCCTGCCCGCCCAAAGAACTAACAGCAATCCAAGACTTCTGCTTGTGTAACCCACATGCCTGTTGCACTGCAGTATTGCACTTGTTTAGAGACAGAGGGAGGCAGTTCAGAAGTTAGTGGATGTCTGTGCACACACGCGAGGCCATTTACTGGAAGTGCCCAGCCCCATTCAGAAGCGAGGGCTAGGAGTTACTAGGCAGATCAGTGTTTTTTCATGAGCTGGAGAATAAGTGTCCATAGCGGATGGAGTCATAAATATTCATAATTTGAAAACTGAGGCCATAAGGGCTCAGGTAGGGGCAAGCTATAAAAAAAAGGAGTATGAGATCCCCACCCCCGAGAAAGCTCAATGGATGAGCCTGACGAGATACATGATGGCATATCCTAGAGTCAGAGACTGGGTCTTTTGCACCCAGTAGCACATCCCCAGGTCCCCCACAGGATCAAGCCATTAACGCAGCTCCAGACCTATTGTGCCATATTTATAAAGCTTGACCTCAGAAGTTAGAATCGGGGAAAACATCTTTCTTTCTACAGAAAAACAGCCTTTAACCTAAAGGTTTTGCTAGAGGCTCATGGATTCAGCAGTTATTTTTTATTTAAATGTTTAAGAGAGAAGAAGTTTTAGCTGTAACAGATTTTGTATTAAATTTAGATTTCATTTTAAACAGGTTTATTTTTAAAAATAAAAACAATTTAAACATCAAAAAAATTCCACGTAAGTCACAGAACTCATCAATGTTGCGGCATGAGCAATTGTGGTTCTCTGTCCAGCCCACGCAGCAAGCATGAACTACCCCATGTTGGCAGCCACAGCACAGAGGCAAAAGTCTTGCATGAACCATGAACAGCACGCTCCTCATTCGCCCTGAGAGATGGCCCCTCCAGGGCAGGGTTCAGAATTCTCCCCGGCCTATAATCAGCTCCAGGGCTGTCATATTGGATTTTAAAGCCAGCTGGGTGGCTTTAGTGCCATTTACACTGAACGTAAGACCGGCTGTACCGGGTCAGACCAAAGGTCCATCTAGCCCAGTATCCTGTCTTCCAACAGTGGCCAATGCCAGGTGCCCCAGAGGGAATGAACAGAACAGGTAATCATCAAGTGATCCATCCCCTGTCACCCATTCCCAGATTCTGGCAAACAGAGGCTAGGGACACCATCCCTGTCAGGGCACAATTCCTGCTGGGCGGGGATGTGACAGTCAGGTTTTCAGAGAATAGACCATAGCAATTATTACAGAAAATAGACTTTATTTTTCCAGTTTATAGGACAGTTCCCATCTCACAGAACATGACTGGTCACGGAATCCACAGCCATTAATGCCCTCAGTCACATACATACACTGCAACCAACAACTGGTTCTGTGTAAGGCATCTGGTGGGTCCAGAGGGAACCACCTGTTTGCTAATATACTCGAGTACAAAGGGGTAATGCAGCCCTGCCAGGGCACTGGGAACCAGCAAGCATCAACAGGCTGGTTTTTAAAGTAATGGAGCTACAGCAAAGCTGAGGACACAGACTTTACCGACTCAGCCTGGAGGACAGAGGAATACTCAGAGGGAGCATCTTAGGGGGCTGTGCTGCTTAAATTACAATCAAATCGAAAATAATCAAAAAGCAACAAAACAGCAGGCATTTTCAAACAATCCTCTTCTGAAGAGAATCCCACGCCTGCCAGCTCCCTAGAGAAGGGACAAGTCTCACAAATGCAGCCAGCCGTGGAAAGAATAAAACAGCCAGGTTAACCTTTATTAATGTAACACAGAAATGTACCATCAACCTCCTGGTAGAAAAGTATTTTACATACATTCGAGGAGACATCGTATAAATATCGCTAAGAAATATCACTGGCTGCAATAGTTTCACACTCAGCCTAAGTTTTGCTGAGGTCTTAAAGGTTCCTTAAAATAATCGGAAGTAAACAAACACAAAGCAAAGCCTGCCAGCTATCTGACTGCTCAGTACCTTGGCTTCTACACTCACTACGAGCACCGGGGGATCCCCCCCAAGGCAGGGCTCCCCTGCAGTTCTACTTTGTACAATGACTGAAGTGAAGGGGGAGTTTTCCAAGGTTAAGGCACAGGTTTCAAATCCCAAGTTAAGCTCACTGAAGTATGACACATGTTCCAAATAGGCTCAGTTTCACAGGACAAAGTGCCTCAAGCATGTTTACAAGACAGCTTCTGGCCAGCTAGTGACCCTCACCAGTGAGAGATGCTTATGGAAACCAGAACGGATTCTCCTTTGATCATCCAAAGTAGACTTCTCATCTTCAGACGCACACAGCATCTGTGTCTTTGGAAACTATGCATTTTCATGTGGCTAATTTCCTGCTGGCTCCTCTCCATTCTCAGTGGTTAATGTAGTAGCTAACCCTTCTATGGGCTTTATTTTACAAACAGGTGCTTTAAGGAGCTGAGAACAGGGCAACTCCAGGACCTCCTGTCACACATAGGACACCCCTCGCCACACTCCTCTAGCCTCCCCAAACACAGGGGCACCACCATATACAGTGCATGCCTACCCTGCCCCGAGTCCTTCTCCCCCAGCACACAACATGTTAGGAAGAGCAGGGTCAATGGGGTCTCCTCCCAATGTCAGTGTGTAAACCTCACTGGGGTAATGGCAGCAACACGAGCAAGAGACGCTAGTGTATCTGAACACTACATGACCAGGCAGCCTCCCTCAGGCCGCCAATGCAGGGAACAGAGCAGTAGTTACAAATACAGACGTATTTCCAAACATTAGGACAATTCCCATATAATGAGCCATAAAGTAACTACTCACTGTTGAAACTGGCGTCACAGATTCTCTACCAGGGAAGATGCTTCCCAGACTGAATGGTTTCTATGTACACGGCACTAAACACATGGAAGAAGTCTCCTGGGGAGCCAGCTACAAATGCACCCAGCTCTGGAGTATATCAGCTTAAGGTCAGAGTGCAAAGCTAGTGCCTAGTGAGTGGATATTACAAGAAAGGCAGGCTCCTAGTCCCAGAGCTCCCTTTGGCAGTTGGGAAAGGACATTGCTTATTTGTTGTTTTATCAAGGAGGTCAAAGATCTAAATATACCTGAAATCCAGAGACCTCCATGCTTTCCCAGTTCTCACCACTTTGGCTCTGCCTAGATTAGCAAACCCATCCAGCTGTCCCAGGGTTAGCAGGGTTGGGAGCCCTAGTCTAGAGGGGCCACCTGCTTGCCACCAGTTTTTCAGTCATTGTTTCTCCTGACCCTGTTCAGAGCTGACAGTGCTTAGAACAGTGGCAGCAGCCAGCGGGCTCTCCACAGGAGGCTCCAGCACTGCCAACACCCGTACAGCTGAGCTGGTGCTAGCCATAATGCCGAATTCTCAGAAAGTGTCTCTGGCACAGACACTTTCCTTAGAAATGCATGAGCTTGATGGCATGGGGGAGTAGGACAGACACTTTGGTAGCTATGGCCAAAACAAGCAGCTGCTCAGTGTCCCTCTCAGTGCGTAGCTCTGTGGAGTGAAGTGCTGAGCTTCCCAGACCACCCCCTCTATAGGCTCCAGATCAGGGATCAAGGGCTGTCTAGGGAGCTCAGGATGTCTAAAGATGGGATCCTCTGGATACCTCAAACCTTTCGTATCCCAGCTGAGCACGAACAGCAGAGAGGATGCGCTGCTGCTGAGCATGAGAGGCTCCTACATTGTACACAGGAACCTCCGAGTAGCTACATGTTCAGGTGCTGCCATGGCACATGCTTAGGAAAGAGGCAGAAGAATTTCACATGGGATGGGGAGAGCTATGCGGAACAAAGCCCTGCAGCTAACACTGGAACTGGCCTCTGACATGAAGCCCCTGACTTGGAGGTGACAATCTCCAAGGTCTAACACATGGCTGGTACTGAGCAGGGTGGTGCTAAGATACAGGTCTTCTCACTGGGAGTTGATGTCACTTACGCCCTAGCAGAAAGGTCAATGTAGCTACAATCCGTGTCTGGGTGCAGTGGGGGTGGATGGGTGAGTGTCTCCACTCATTGCTAGTGGCTCTTGGTCTCAGTTGTCCTAGAAAACAGAATTCCACTGACAAATGGATTTTTGTTGGGTGTAACTGGGGCTGTAGCATAGTGGAAAGAGAAATCCAAGCAACTGAACCTGATTCTGCCAACAGGAACTTAATGGACACGGATGGAACTGGAAGAAACAGCCCAGAAAGCCCACTGACATTTCTTTTCCTAATATAATTTGAAAGAATAATTGTGCCTTAAATCACTGGTGGCCAAGTGAAGAACCTCCCACCACATCAGCAGTGCTGAATGAAATACAGCACATGTTCCTATAGTGCCCATCACTCTGTAGTCCCGATCACTGGCCATTGGCGAGGCTAGAAATTGGTAATTCTTAGCTGGGAGACAGGGCCCAGGGGAAGGGGTCTGTGGTGACTGAATAGAGACCCAAGGGTTCACTAGGAAAGCCGATCTTTTCCTATACGGGAACTACAAGTCCCGGATACATGCCCTTCTCCCTTGTTACTATTCAGTGAAGCTGCCTTGGAACAAAACAATCTAAAGAAATGGCACTAAATTAACTCTTCTGAACAGACGGGGCGGGGGAGGGGCTCATTTGCACAGTGACAGAGGTATATTTGTCATTTTCATTAATATTTCCCATGAAAAATTAACAGACTTTTTGGCCTTGCAAGATGGGGAAAGTTCAATCCTGCCCTAGATGCTAGACTCTTTTCTATAAAAATAATGTCTATACATTCACTGTGGGGTCTATAATTAAGTTGGTTAGAATGGGAGAGGGATCTTACAAAAGTCTGCTGCTATTATATTACCACAAGGATATGCACAGTGAATCTCTGGAGATTACCAACAAGAGCTCCTTAACCTCAGCCATTCCCTTCTTTAGAAAACAGAGAACCATTAAAGACTGTAGCTATACTGTGTCTGCTGCTTTGGGTAAACCCCTTTGTACCTGGCAGTACCCATGCTCCTGAGGAAGTGACTGGGTGTCACCTCCTACTGTAGAGTTTGCATAAGCTACATTTCTTCATCAAGGTGAAAAGAAAGCTCCCAGATAGACAAGATTTCTGCCCCTCCTGGAGAGGGGCTTGAAAGGAGCTACATTTGCTCTTCTCAGCTTCTTACAGGAAGTCTAGCTCGAGGGCCTGGTGAAGGGACACAAGGTCTGCATGGTTCGTGATCCTCCAGAAGGGCATGTTGTGCTGCAACAGACAGTTACAAAACCACTGTTACAGAACAGCTATCCATCTCCACATAGTCACATCAAAGAGCACAGGTCGAGTTTGACAATGCAGTCCCAAAGCTGACAGGCCCTAACATACACCAGGATTGGGCCACCAGGATTCCGCTGGCCTGTTCACGCCTGTGCTACCCACACCTGTGTGTTCAGGG